CCTTCATTGGTCGGCTGAAGTCCCTTGGGATACTTAGGGCTTCTTAACTTAGCAAAATCCAATTTTCCCAAATCAGATTTGGATCAAGAATTTCGTCTGAGGAGCTGACAGCCATCTTTAAAGGCTGCTTCTTATATATATATGAAAGATCCGAAAAGCTTGGCATGTTTTTTTTTTTTTTTATTATTTTATTTTTTTTTATGTTTGCCTATTTTTTCAACCATCTTTACTCCGTGCACGACGAACGTGACGGTAGTTGTTATTTTTTCGTTCTCACCTTATAAGTTTTATCCATTTTTTTATATCTGACAGGGAAAATAAATGAAATTTGGCAGGTGAAGGAGTTGAAAGTTTTTTACAGCTTTTGCGGCATGCAATTGATCATTAAGAGAATCAAATGAGCTCGGATAACGGTGCTTTTAAGTGCATTTTCACGGGAGGGAGGAGAAACTTTTATCCTTATTTTTGGTGAGTTTGGGCAAATTTAACGTCGGATTATATTATAACTCTTCCATTAAATATGCTTATGTTTATACAAGAATCAGCCACTTTCACTCGTACTATTTATTTGATCGATTGCAGTTGTTGAAATACACGCTAGGATTGTTTAGTTAAGGGAAAGTTGACTTTCTGGAGGACTTTCTGCGAGAAACTCTCATTTTTATGTTACATATGGGTGAAACAATAATAAACCTCATGCGGACACCTTGCTGATCGGAAATGGAATCGAAAAAGGAGCTACCAGATTTTAGCCGTTTTTAAATTTGTTTCAAATATTATACTATTAAATGTCTTCAGAAACAAGTTAAATTACCATCTGTTAATTTAGTTTAAAAAAAAAAACTGAATATTGGTTACTCTTTTTAAGGCGATATCAAGATATGATTAACTGTCTAAACCTAGCAGGTCTGGTAGGATCCCAAGAATATGATCGACGTTCAAATATAAAGAAGTTAGGCTTGGTTTATTTGATTATGACGAAGGTTATTTGCCTAAGGTAAGGGATAGCTGTATGGATGACTTTCTAAGGAAAACTGGTTCGTATATACATTACACATGAGGCAAACGAAAGCGTCTATGCGATAGATGCTCTTTTGCAGGAATTCGAACCCGCATCGAACTACTAGCGTTCAGCGACTTTAACGCTCGGCTGCTGGCGGGCTCTAAAGTGAATTTTCCTGCTTCATGCTTGTAAGGAGTTCGAAGTAATCAAGAGTCATTGTGCAAGCAAAGATATGTTTGAGCTTGTCAAAAATAGTATCAGTTTCTGTTTCCATCATTATCTTTATTAGTTATCATGGACGTGTCGAAGCAGGAGGTTCATAGTGAATCAGCATCAGATGTTTTTGACTTACAAAAGTTCATTTGAGCTATTTCAGATTTAAAAATCAGTTTGGAGATCTCGCAGTCCAGAGTGTGTGATTAGTGCAATTTTGTCTTCTTTGTACGAAGAAAAGGAAGGGTTGTAACTGCGAAAAATTTCGGGTATCATATTTCAATGAAAATATCCATTTCAATCGCTCTCAAAACCATTTGAAGAATATTTTTGCGTGATAAATATACGTATGGAGAGAATAATGGACTGTTTTTGGCCGAAAAGGATTGCAAAATAGATTTAAAATAGATTCAGAAGAGAATTTTTCTTGATGTACGTATGTATGTAAATCGCATAACATAAGAACGAGTAGCAGTAGAACTTTGAAATTTTATATCTGTGACTGTTACATGCAGTTGCGCACCTCCCTTTTCCGTAGCACTCGGTTGCACCAATCATATAATATATATATATATATATATTATTGCGTTCTTGGATTTGGAGTGATTAACGACGACACTTGATGAAGTATCAAAACACAATTTATTTAGCCAGTATTACTCAGGACATCTCCAGAAACACGTTAATAGTCGTCGAAAAACTACGACAAAACGCTGAAACAACCAGCAACACAGTCTCCAGGTTATCAGTCTTTTTTCATTTCTGAGGTTACGGCCCTCTTTACCGTCTTCTTTTTATAGCATCGTTTTTCCCGCCTTCGAACGGTCAAGACTGCTTCACGCAAAGCACTGTCTTGAATCGGTCGATCCCTATGAAGCTGTCCCGACTCGGTCGATCGCTCTCGAAGCTCAACACACTCGACGACGCACTAGGATATACTAGGCACTCTCGTGATACACTGACGAGAAACCTCGACACTAGACTGACGATAAACTCGACAAACTGCTACTCGTTCAGACAGGGTTTATATAGCTTTTGCCTGGCCTTCGAGAATATTCTGGGATAAACCGGTTAGAATTCTTTTAGAAAGTTCTCCATCCGTCTATGGCATATTGCCAATTTTGTCGCCAAATGATTTCACACTAAATCTGGCAACCCTGCATCTCCTTGCCACTTTCTCGCAACCCTAAACTCGCTTTGCGGGGAAAGCTATCTTCTGAGGCTGAACATTTCGTAACAATATATATTTATATATTCCCACTTCATTACCTGGCTCACTTAGCTTAGTTTTTCTTAATTCTTATATATTAGTAAATTGTGTATTTTTTGCTTTAAAAGTAATTGAATTATATTGTCCTTGTCTTCCGGTTAAAATTTTTATGCCTTTAGTTAATCTGCATGCAATAGTTGTAGAATTATCAACAATTTAAAAGTTTATGTGGCAAGTTAAGCTTAATGAACCACCATTAGTTAATTAAATCAGTTTCTGCACCTTTAATGTCTTTTTCCCGAGTGGGAAAAAGTAAACATTCAGTTTTGCGAACTGAAAAAAAATCTGTCTTCTTGCTCGCTGGTCGAATCGCTTGTTTTGCGTATAAACTCTAATTTTAAGTGTCAAAATTGTTTTGTTTTTTTCAACTATTTTAACTGTATTCAGTATTCTATGTTTTTCTGTATTTTAGAATTTTTAACGAATGTGTTTTGTATTTTTATATATATTTGCTTTGCTCCAAAGTGAGAACTGAGTGAATTGAATGAGAAATATATCTCTAATGAAATTCGAGGAAATAACTTTGAATGCAATGCAGCAAGAAAATGTGTGTATAACTTAATAGGCCATACCAGAAAGTCATCTGGTTTAGGCATCAGATTTTTTTAAACAAGGCCGGTTGAGTGTTGAAAAGCACCATATGCTATTCGGCTGAGAATTTCAAGACAAGCTAACTGCAGTTGATGCTTTGATTCTGGTTGATCGAAAAATTACCGCCAGACAAAACTCTAAAGAAGCTAAAGAACCGTAGGAAATTTGCTTAAGCAATATCTCATAAGGGAAGGAATTAATGACTGATTTATTGTCGTTGCACAAAGTAGATCAACACACAGTCAAAAGACTTTTATTCTTATGAAATTAAGATTCCTGGAGCTGGAACAAGCATATAACATTGGCAAGTAAGTACCACCATCATAATCCATGGCGCAATAGCCTAGGGTGGGCCAAGGCTTTCTAAACTAGGCGTTTCCAACCACATCTACTACCAGTCAAACTTCTCCAATTCTTAGTTTTAAGAATTGAAGCACCTATCCTTTACAGCAGGTTTCTTAAAATTTTTTGAGTCGCGAGCCCTTTTTATCACTAAAATGTTTTCGCGACCCCAAGACCCCATAATAATTTACAAAAATTTTGTGGGATCCCATAAGTATTGTACAAATCCGACACACGCGTGAGTGAAACTGTCAATTCTTTCAATTGTACTGTAATATACTATTGTAGTTTTAGGTCATTAACTTTACTTTCTAATTTTAAGACATAGAACAATGTGAAAATTTTAAGTAAGTAACAGACGAAATGACAGAGTCACGTGCAAAGCAAGGAAAATGAACGTTTTTATTATAAAAAGAATGCGTAGAAACGTTTTCGTTTTTTCTTTGTCTGTATTGTCTTATCTTTATCTATTTTCAGATACGTTGTGTAAAAATATTTGGTAATTCTAAAATTATTATAATAAGTAAAAAAAAAAAAAAAAAAAAAAAAACATCAAAAGATCAAATTTTTGGCGACGCCCTTGGGGGTCTCGATCGACAGTTTAAGAAACTCTGCTTTACAGTATCTATCCATCGTAGTCTAGATCTTCCTTTTGTGATTCTTGGTTCTAGCCGAAAAAATTTCTATTAGTATGTTACTGTCGTTCATATGGATAACATGCCCAGCCCAGATGAGGCAGCTTATCTTAATGTAAAGAACAATATTTGGCTCTTTGAACATTCCATACAATACTGTGTTGCGTTTTCTACGCCATATACTATGTTTCTGAATTCCTTTGAAAATAGTATTTCTCAAAACACTTATCAGGTTCAATTGTTTCGTCTTACTTTCTTTGGGAACATGCAAGGACCTGACTCGGAACAGGGAGCTTACTAAAGCTATGTTCAATAACTGTGGGAAGTAGACAGGATACACAAGAAGGGTATACAAAACCCTTTAATTTTTCTCTCTTTACAATAATTTCCGTATTTCGGAATACAAAGACCCCTACGTGGTCTAAAAGCAAGAATATAAGAATATAACTAAACTCTAACTTAAGAATAAAACGGAAACGCCTTATTTAAAGAAGCGTGTGTACCAACGTAACATAAACGTTAAATACAGGCAACCCACGGTAACTTTAAGGTAAACCTCTTCCCGCTTGCCCCACTTAAGTGGGCAATTGCATAAGACTTGTTGTATCTCTCAATAGAATTCTAAAAGGTAAAAAGAAATCTCTTACCTTTTCTTTCACCCGGGAGCCGAGCTTGTTCCATTCTAATTCTTATTCGATGAAATATCTAAATAATTCCAAGCTTTTGCATAAAAACTGACACTTCTGTATAAATAAAGATATTATATTTAGATACAGTTATATACAATTATTAGATTACATGAAATTACGCGCTCTCCAGCTAACAGTCAATCGAGTTCGGATTCAGAGTTCTAACTACGTTCTTACCGTAGGATTATTCTCGAGTTTAGATGTAATGGTGCTGATAGTTCGAGAGTTTAGATGTGGAGGCGCTGATAGTTCGGAGTTTAGATGTAACATCTCCTCCCACCATTGAGATCCGACGATGCGGAGGAACTCAATACACACAGGTCCAGTCGATGAGGAGGCCGAACAACTCGTCCAGCTCTGGTCATCACTCGAGGACTTGAGGCAGGTTCTGGAATACTAGCAGCCTGATCAGCCTGACCAGTTGCATGGTCGTTTCTATCTCGAGGTGCTCTGTCGGGGAACGGAGGGCCAACGGATTCGGAAGTAGAGATCTCCAACGGGAAAAGCCGGGGCACTGGACGAAGCAGAATTCCATTTCTTGTCTTGACCCTCGCTAGTCTAACTATTCCGTCTTTACTGGGGAAAAGCTCGACTATCTTGGCTAAAGGCCAATGTATGCGTCGTCTCTGGCTGTCTTCCAATAGAACGACATCGCCTACTTGCAACTGTTGAAATTTTCCCTTCTTTATTGCCTGTTGTCTCAACTGACCAAGATATTCATTACGAAATCTGTTTCGTAGATCATGTCTTATTCTCTGTCGGTATTTGGCTCGACGGTTTAGTTCTTTGGAATCTACGTAGTCCATATCAGGAACTCCTGATGACGGCAATTCTTGCAGAAACATCATAGGGGTCAGTGGTGATGGATCTTGATTATCCTCTGATACGTATGTGATAGGTCGCGAATTAATCACTTGTTCACAGTCACATAATATAGTGTATAATTCTTCATAATTTAAGGACGTTCGACCTAACACTCTTCTTAAATTTTCTTTCACCATTCGCACAAGCCTCTCCCACCAACCTCCCCACCAGGCGGCGGTCGGAGGGTTGAACTTCCATCGTATCCTTTGGATAGAAGCAGCTGAACATATGGCGTTCCAATTAACTTTCTTAAGAACACTGTTAGTCCCTACAAAATTAGTTCCGTTGTCGGAATATATCACATAAGGTCTACCTCTTCTGGCAATGAATCTACGTAAAGATTGGATGAAAGTTTCTGTAGATAGAGAAGTAACTAACTAGTTCGAGGTGAATGGCTCTATAAATGGCACATGTATACAAGACTATCCACGCTTTAGACCCCTCACGGAGATAGAGAGGACCCGCTAGATCTACACCGACGACTTCAAAAGTCGCCCCTTCTCTGACTCGATCTTCGGGTGGAAATCCTGGCTCGACTTCCACTCTTTGTGAAACAAATCTTTTACATCTTACACATTTTCTGATAATATTTCGAATACTTTTTCTGGATTTTAATATCCAAAAGTTTTCTCTAAGATTTGTCATTAAAGTGCTGACACCAGCATGCTGGAGTTCTAGATGTTTCTCGTAAATTAGTCTCTCAACAAGAATATGTTTTGAAGGTAAAATGATAGGATATCGGAAATTTTCATTATCTTGACGCTGTAGGACGTTCGTTTTGGCTCTTAAAATTCCATTTTGGTCTACGATTGGTCTCAGCGCACGAATGGCGGGATCGTTTATGCCTGTAAATGATTCTTTCTGTACCAATCTACAAAGTGCCTTTTCAGCATTCTCCAATTCATCAACTGAGACATCAGGAGTGAGGTTTTTATCTTTGTTCTTTAAATTGTGATAAAACCTGAAAATCCAAGCGATCATTCTCACGGTTTTTCTATATGAAGAGAAGTATTTGTAGTACCGGTCCAAATTGTCTCCATGATCTAGAAGAGTCAGAATCGTTTTCCTTTTTTCCTTGTTTATAAGTTCTTCATCAGGCTTTTCTTCTACATGGGGCCACTCGTCTTCTGGTAAGTAAAGCCACGATGGGCCCTCCCACCATGCCGATTTCTGTAATTGCTCAATAGTACATCCTCTCGATGGGAGATCCGCTGGGTTTAAACTTCCAGGTACATGCCTCCAGTCAGATATTCTGGTAAGCGATCTTATTTCTTGTACTCGATTGTGAACAAACGTACCCCATGCTTGATCCCTTCTTATCCACCCCAAAGCTGTAGAAGAATCACTCCAGAACACTGTTCTACAATTCTTAAGTTTCAAATCTGATAGAATTGTTTTGGCAAGCCTGGCACCTATCAGACAGGAAAGAAGTTCAAGCCGTGGAATCGTAAGTTCCTTAATAGGGGCTATTCGACTTCTCGCACTTACTAACTGAACCTTTACACCTTCGATGGTTTCAGCTCTTAAAAATGCACATGTGGCATAGACTCTTTTACTAGCATTCGAAAAAAACGTGAAGAACCTACGGTATCTTCATTTTCGTAATCAATATTTAACCATCGAGGAATTTCAATCTGAGATAGCAGAGGTAATTGATTCAACAAAGTCCCAAACTGCTCGCTTAGGGGAAGAGGAAGATCTTCATCCCACTTAATCTTCTGGTTCCATGTTTCTTGCAAAATTAGCTTAGGAATTACAGTTATCGGTGCAGTAAAGCCAATGGGATCAAAAATTTTCTGGGTAATTGACAAAACTTTTCTTTTGGTAATAGGTTCCCTCAAGTTAAATGTTTCTTCGATCTTGCAACTCAAACTATCTTTTTCTAAATCCCATACTAATCCTAATACTGGGACAACTTTCGTCTTGCTCTCTATCTCATCGATCATGTCAATGCGAAAATTTGATCGCCAACATCTCAAATTGAAATGCCCTGAAGCCAAAATCAATCTTGCTTCTTGAACGAAATTTTCGGCTTCATCTACGTGATTTAAGCTAATTAACGAATTATCGAGGTAAAATGAATCCTTCAAAATATTAGAAGTTTCTACAAACTTTTCTGGGACTGTAGTCAAAAGGTGACTAAGTGTAGCGGCTAGCAGAAACGGACTTGATGTGAGTCCAAAAACAACTCGGTTATGTCTGTAAATTTTAAACTTATGTTGATTATCGAACCATAGAAACCTTAAAAAATCTCTATCCTTTTCTGCTATTTTGATTTGACAAAAGGCCTTTTCGATATCAGATGACACTCCTATGCGATATTTTCGAAAACGATTCAATATACGTGGAATAATTTCTATTAAATTTGGTCCTTTACTCAACAATCATTGAGAGAGGGTGAGGGTGAATTCTTAGAACGTGCAGATGCATTGAAAACAGGCCGTATCTTTGTAGTTTCACTAGACTCTTTTATTACAGGTCTGTGTGACAAGTAGTGCACTCCTTCCTCCTTTTCCTCAGTTACTACCTCAATAATGTCCTTCGCTTCCCACTCATCAAATATTTCTTCGTAATCTTTTCTTCTGCGTGTGTTAATTAGTTTACTTTCGGTTTTGACGAGGTGTCTTTCTGCCACAGTACGGTTACTGGATAAGACGGATTTATCTAAAATAAAGGGTAAGGTTACTTCATATCTCCCTGAGCTATCTCGTTTTACACTTTTTAAGAAATGTTTTCGGGTTTCTTCTTCCAAGGCACTTTTCGTTTTGTTTTCCTCACTTGAAATCCCCAAAGTGTCTAAACGCCAAAGATTGGACAAATTTGTATCGGAAACATGTAAGGATAAAGAAAGAACGGACAGGGAACTCGACGTATTCGCATTCTCTTTAATCTTGCCCATTAAAGTCCAGCCTAACTTGGTCTCAAAGGCTACGTAATCCCCCGCAAAATGTTCAATTCTTTCAGTGAACAATTGTGCTGCGGTGTCCGCTCCTAACAGCATATGAATCTCTTCCGGATTTTCTTGAAACAGACAGAGATTTCCATTCACATGATTGTCGTTGATAAGGATTCCCCTTTTTTCCATCACTTTAATTAATTTTTCGTCTTTGATCTTAGGTAGTGACGAACAAATTTTCCTCTGGTCTAGTGCTTCGATTTTACACCTGTACTTTCCATCCAAACTAGTTAAATCTATTTGATAACGATTATGATCTTCCGAAACTTCTACACCCCCAAATAACCCATGTTTAATTCTTTCAGTTCCTATCTTTTCTAATTTCAACGTTTTAGCAGCATATTGACTTATGTACGTGTTCTGACTTCCGGTGTCTATTAGCAATCTTAAATAACCCTTTAAGGTTTTCCCAGCTACCCCTACGACCAAAGTTTGTAAATAAACTTCAGAACGGTTGCTTTGATTCGAAAGTACTTTATTTTCAACTTCCTGGACAGTTTTGATCGTTCCCTTTTTACTCTCGGAATTAATTCTGTTGCACATAATCGTAGAATGCTTAGAGTGACAATGGGAGCAAAAAATGTTAGAATCACAAAATTTGCTGATGTGACCCTTATTTTGTAAACACCTAAAACAAGTGCCATTTTTGCGTAGTATTTCAACCTTTTCGTCATTAGTTAGTTTCTGGGCAATAGGACATTTATGGCTTGAATGGGAAAAATCTCCGCAAAAAACACATGCCTTAATCAATTTTTCTTTAATACCCGTGGACACTAAATCAGAAGCAGAAGAAGCTTTCGTTTCTAATTTATTGCTCTTTCCATCGCTGAAATGACGAGTGTTTATTTTCTGGACTGCATACGCAGACTGACGGCGCCCACTATTCGCTGTCGAATGCTCTGAATTCTTATTTATGACTTCCGCCCTTTCGCGTGAATCTAAACATTGAGCTATAATCAAGCACAGGCTTTTAATATTACAATATGCACTTCCATTACTCATTCTGTTAATCTCAAGCAAAATATCTTGGGGAAGTGATTTCAGAATTATTGGACATAACACACTTGATAAATTCTCGAGAGACTGACCCAAATTTTCTAAACATCTTAATTCGATAGAAATATTATCATAAAATTTTCTAAAGGCGCGAACATCATTCGAGATTTTCAACGGTTTAGTGTTCAAAATGTTATTTATGTGAGTGTAAATGAGCACATCTGTTTTCGCAAATCTTTCTTTTAGAAGATCAATTGCGGAATCGTAATTAGCAGCAGTAATCGGTAATCCTTCGACTGTATTTAAAGCAGAACCACCTAAATGAGCTTTCAAATAATTAAATTTGTCTATTTTATCTAATGAATCATTTTTATGAATGGCAGACTCGAAACTGTTCCAAAAGGTTAGCCAGTTGTTTATATCTCCGTAGAATTTCGTTAAAGTTAACTTAGGTAATTTAATTCGAACAGACTCGTTATGTTTTGGTTCGCTTTGACTATCAGTACTGAACTGGTTATTTACTACCGTTTCAGTAGATTTGCGTTTTAATTCGTCGATTCTTTTGGAGGTACGGAAACTGCATTTAACGACCTTTTGGCGATATTCTTCAGATTTTTGGAATTCAGCATCAAATTCTTCGACTTTAAAAAGAGGTTCTAATTCTGTATCGACACTTTTAAGCGATTCGAAATTATTCTTTAATATTTCTAAATTTTCTTCCAAATCATGAATTTTCGGATCAATTTCCGAAAGCTGCGATTCCAAATCTTTAAGCGATTTCGTTACTGATGTTCGGAGAGCTGCGCGCTTCTTTTTTAATTTATTTAAGATCTCTTCAGACATGTTCTTAACAGTTCAAAAATTCAAAATGTAATCAATAATTGTATTCTTAATCTTTATTTTCTAATTTAAATTCTTATTCTTAGCTCGGGCGTCCCGGCAGGGATGCCAAAATTTGTTGTATCTCTCAATAGAATTCTAAAAGGTAAAAAGAAATCTCTTACCTTTTCTTTCACCCGGGAGCCGAGCTTGTTCCATTCTAATTCTTATTCGATGAAATATCTAAATAATTCCAAGCTTTTGCATAAAAACTGACACTTCTGTATAAATAAAGATATTATATTTAGATACAGTTATATACAATTATTAGATTACATGAAATTACGCGCTCTCCAGCTAACAGTCAATCGAGTTCGGATTCAGAGTTCTAACTACGTTCTTACGTAAGATTATTCTCGAGTTTAGATGTAATGGTGCTGATAGTTCGGAGTTTAGATGTGGAGGCGCTGATAGTTCGGAGTTTAGATGTAACAACGCTTTTAATTCTGGCCGGTAGTAGAAAATAAGAAGTGATAGTAAAGATTTAAAATAAAATAAACGTTAGTAAAACTTAAGATCCTTACATACTTCCCGCCAGAGTTAATTAGTTTGAAACTGAGGTCTAAAACGACCTTGTTGAAAACTTTTAGCTCTAGAATCTAACGCGAGGCCAATCTTTTACAAACATCTCTCACTAGAAACTAGATATTTTAAAAAAAGAAATTTGTTTTTACAATAGCAGCTCCAAGGACACGCAATTTTTCATCTGTACTGCATCTAAACAGGAGCTTTTATTCAAATCTGGTTCCTTCCAGAGATCTGGAAGGAAAACTAGTTTAATGAAATGTTACACAATGAAATGGCAAGTAACATGCATATTTATATTTCTCTTAACATTCTTATTTCATTCAGGACTATTTTAATTATCTCTCCCCGTGCTCTCTGACATGTGTTGTAAAAGAACACCAAACACGAATGTTTTTATGTATACGTGTTCAACATTTCCTCCTACAATCAAAACACTAACGTGTTAAAATTCAACATACCAAGACCTCGTAACACACCCTAACTTCAACTCTAAACCCTGAGGTACTATTCTGAAAGTGGCTAACTCTGAAGTGTAGCGTCAGAGAGCCTAACTACATTCATTCAACCTTTAACACATATTCACCATAATTTAGTCTTTTTACAGTCACACGAATAAAAAAAAAAAAAAAAAATTAACATTACTTTCACTTTTACCATATCACGGTATTTCTTAACATTTAAAATAACAGTTCACATTGTATATAAGAACATATTAACATGCCGTTAATTTTACGCATTTGAAAACATACATTAGTAGTACATTGTTAACTTCTATTCTTTTCAAAGCAAGCGCCAATTCTTTCTACATTGAAATACTACATTTCAAAAAGTCTTTCAGAGTAAAACTTCTTTCTTGCCAGAATGTTTTAAATAAAATTTATACATAACTTTTACTTTTACAATATTTAAGTATTTACACGTCGCTATTATACATCAACTTTAGTTTTACGCGCGAGTAATTGAAAAACATAATACCAAAAATCGGTAACAACTCATTTCTCGCCCTTTTGGCGATAAAGGTAGACCTCGCATGAGGTAAAACTTCTTGAAATCTGCCACTTGCAGTAAGAATGAAAGATTAACTTAAGTTTGCAAAGTAGTAAACATAAAATTTTACTTACCTTTGTGATATTCGGACATTCTTTTCTGAGCCCAGTCCTGGAAGGTAGCGTAGATTCTCGTTTGATTTATCCTCCTTCGTGTGCGGGCTCGCCCTTCAGTGCCTTCCTCTAGAAGCATTCTTTTTTCTCCAGTTCGGTCACCCTTGAATACCTTCTTTTTTGCCTCTGCCTGTGGTCTTGGCCGTTTGATGGCAGCTGGTCTTGGCGGAACCGGGAAACTTCTTTAGCGTTCCTGCTTGGACCTCGTTGCTGGCCGTTCAAATTTTCCTTGTAACTTTTCCTCCGCCGCTGGTGGCCCTTCCGCAGTTCGGCGACATTTGCTGCGGAGAGTCCTGTCGGATGAGTAGATCTTCCGTTTCAGAGCCGGGTTATAGTTGCCGTCATTTCTCCTGGCTCTCTTTGCATACGTCTTCCTTCTCCCTTCTTCATTCTGGGGGTGTTCGTGAGCTCTCTTTTCTGGACGGTGGAACGGCTTCTTTTTCTTGTTACCTTCAATTTTCCCGCGGGGAAACTTTCTTTTCACTTGCTCCTGCTTCTTAATGGCTTGCCCTTGTACTTGTCGTTGTTCCACCTCTGGAGCTTGTGCCTGCCGTGTCTGCCGTGCCGGATCCTGCAAAAGATCTGTAAATATTTGCATTTTATTACGATCATAGTAGGGTTTGATTTGATCAATGTTTGCGGAGCAGGTTTCACCACTCCTGGCTTTTAACACTACTACAGCGTGAGTTATTTTTTCTATGACATATGGTCCTTCAAATCGTGGAAAACATTTGGCAGTTTTATCTTCTGGTGCTGAAGAAAGTGAATGCTTAATTTTTAATACTTCATCCCCTACTTTATAAGTTACTCCCCGTCGTTTCAAGTCATAATACAGCTTTTGTTTTCTCTGTGCTACTTCAGTATTCTTTTTTGCTTCTTTAATTAGTTTTTCTATATCACCCATTTTAAATTCTGGGGCTCTTTGTTGCACATAAAATAATTTATCTAACGGCGTTATAATCTTTCTGCCTAAAAATAACTCAGCAGGAGTTTTGCCCGTTGTATCATGTTTTGCGGTCCTAAGGGCGAAAGCAAATTCATTGACATAGTTATCCCAGCTTTTATGAAAATTGTTAATATAACTACGGATAATTTTCACTATATTTCTATTGACCCGTTCCGCTATATTTGATTGCGGCCGATACGGGACCATTTTTAAATGACGTATGCCCAGTTTTTGGCACATGTCTTCAAATACATTACATACAAATTGAGGACCATTATCCGATATAACTTTTAGGGGTGCCCCGTATTTTAAAAATATTTTTATTAAAATAGAATCAGTAACTAATTTTCGCGGAGGGAGGCTCGTTTTAAGGGAACAATTTCGGTCCACTACTAAAATGATCAACCATAACAGGAGAGATAGCGACTTTTATTAACTGACTTTTTGGGAAAGGGCCCAATAAATCGATGCCAATTATTTCATTTGGAAATTCGGATTTAATACTATTTAGAAACCCGGCCGGGCGGAAATTAATATAATTAACTGCTTGACATGTTGGGCAGGACTGGACATACGCCCTTGTTAACTTTTGCAGTTCAGGAAAGTAGACTGCCTCGCGTACGCGTTGGATAGTTTTTCGAATACCAGCATGAGAAGCTAAAGGGCTGTCATGGAGCTCCTGCAGGATATTTAATCTAAGACTAGCTGGGATAACAGGTCGAAATTCGTTGTTGGAATTCGTAGTTTTTGTATAAAATAATAGACCATCTATTAGTTCGTAATAGGCCGCCCTATTTCTTATTGTCACAATATCTTGGTGGCTAAAATTTTCAGGATCCTTTAAATACTCATAAATGCTTCCAAACTCAGGATCCTTACCCAGTTCGGTTATTACAGTTTCTCGGGAATTTATTGTACATGCTGTGAGCATTGCCACCTTTACAGTATTACCTTCTTCATCTATTTTAATTCTGGATAGGGCATCTGCTACGATATTTTCCTTTCCGGGGGGCATATTTCACAAGTGCACATCAGCGTAGCCACCGAGGGATGGGTTTCGAAAATAGACCAATGAGCTTCTATCGCTCTTGTGACTCTAAATCTCCATGCATGTGAGCGTAAGTTTACGTTTTAATTTGCATTTGTTTCGCAGTTATAAATGTATGGCATAATAGTAGAAAATTTCCTAGTTCTTTCGTTTTTATGAGTTTAATTAATCGCTGACATTTCCCTTTCGCGATTTTTATCACGCATTAATATTTGGATTGATGTTTACTGCATATTATCGCTCTTTACATCAAAAAAAGGACTCAAGCTACAATTAGCCTCGAATATTATGCATTTACTAACACCTGTGGATTAAGAGAATTCAAGCGTAGTTTTAATTGAGCATATTTTTCACATATATATTATTCACATAATTTTTAATTCAGCTGAGAAGGACTGGAAGTGTTACAATGATTCTAGTGTTTTCTTATTTCAGTGCTTGCATT